TTTCATTTCTCACTCTCTCGATGGTGAATCATTTCCCCTTTACTCTCCAGTTTGATTCGACGTTTACAGATTCATTTAGTGGTACGCTTCTTTTCTTTTTTTTTTTTTTTTTTTAATTAATACATTGGCACACTTATCGAATTTGGTCAAATCATGAAGCAGTGCACGTGTATCCATCGTAATTTTTCCTTTTCTTTCCCTCTCTTCTTTTCTTTCCTTCGTTATCATTAAATCTTTTTTTTTATGTGTTTTTGGTGTTTCGATGTTTTTTTTTTGTTTTACTTTGCTGTGTATATAATTCTATCGTCACTCGATTCCCGCGATAAAACGATACGTTCACGGTAAGCGCGTGTCAGGATGACGGTGTTTGTTAATCTCAGTGATAATGTCGTCTCACAGTCCTTTCTGTTCCTTTCTTCCTTCCTTTCTTTCGCTCCTCCCTTTTTTTTTTGGATATCTTTTTTTTCTAATCCTTTTTCTAAAATTTTTTTTCTTTTTATTGACTTGTACTTGTTATGTCCGGTGTGGTTTTTTTTTTTTTGTTTGTTTTTAACTCTTTAAACCATACTCCTTCCCCCGTCTAGAACAGTTCAGCATTTCGACGGTAAATGGCGACGATAAACTCTCCCTGTGTGTAGTATTTTTTTTCTCGTTTTTTCCTTTTTTTTTCTTTTTTTCTTTTTTTTTCTGTTTATTTGCCTGTCTGTTTTAAAACCCTCTTAGAACGCCGACGACTGCGTGTGCGTATACTGTACTCGATCGCCGAGCCGTTTTACCGTTTTGCGCAGTTAGTGATTTTGTGGTTGTTGGTCGAAGAAAAATTGGTCGAACGAGCCTTCAGTCGCTCCCGCGACGCTGCATAGCAATTGCGTTGCTCAGCCATACGATCTCGGCTCAATATGGCTGGGAGAACTGTCCCCCGGCTTGCGACTGCCCGGATTGATAGAACCCGCTACGATCACCCTGGTACGTGGAATCCTGCGACAACAGGCCGTCCATCTGCGACTGAAATTCCCCGACGGCGAACGAGTCTTGGGAGAGCTCCGCCTGACTCAGCCCAGGCTGGGACAGGCTGAAACCTGGCTGCGACATGCCCTGAGTCGTCCCTTGAGTCAATGGCAATCCCGGCTGGCTGTACGGCTGGGTATTCTGCTCGGTTTGGCTCAGCTTGCCCATTCGTGGCCCCTGTTTGTTCTTCGACAGAGTGGTGCCTCGGCGATTGCGCTGATTCTGTCTGGCTTGCAGGGCCTGTTGATGCTGGTTGTAGAACCGCGGCGGCACGTGCGCCATGTTCATGAACATCCCTACAGGGACCGGCACGTTGTTCATCGCGGCCTGGGCCCTCTCCGGGCTGATGTAGCTGATGGTGTCGTGGGTCCTGCTGAAGATGTCCAACGGCACGTTCCTTTGGTAATACGGATTGTGATTCTGCGTTCCGTTCACCTGGGTACCTGATCTGTCGTACACCGAGCCGGGGATCAGTGCTTCCCTCGCGTCGTACATCGACGTGGACATGAAGTGGGAGCCCGGGTTCGCGGCGTTGACGAGTTTCTTTGGCTTCGCGAACTGGATCATCGACTCCTTGAGATTGTTGAGGGGCCCCTCGACGAGAACCTTCTGCTCCTTGTAGAAGCTCAACAGGTGATTCCACAAAGGTTGCTTCGATAACACCTTCGGGTTACCTACGATTATGATACCGTATTTAGCGCGGGTCAACGCCACGTTCAATCGCCGGGGATCGTTCAGGAATCCGATGCCCTGGTGTTCGTTCGATCGGACGCAAGACATGATTATTATGTCCTTCTCTCTGCCTTGGAACGCGTCGACGCTGGCCACTTCGATCTCCTGGTACAACTTCGAGTGCAGGGACCCCTGATACTGCATGTATTGCACCAGATAGGCTCTCTGACCCTCGTACGGAGTAATCACTCCGATCTGTTCGGGCTTCACTCCGCAACGGAGGAACCTCGTTGCTATCTTCTCCACATTCGACGCCTCCGTACGATTCAAGTACGACGTGCCGCTTCCAGCGATCTCCTCTTGACCCTGCGTGACGTAGAAAAACATTGGTTTGTCGGGGGCCGGCCAGGGGAAGTCGATTTTCAACAGTTTCCTCTCGTCCGCGCACACGCCGTTCTGCAGAGAACCTTCGTAGAAGAAGTTCGAGGGGAAACGCGAGAGATCCGGGTGCATACGGTATTGTACTTCCAGTCTGAAAGGTCTGATTCCAAGTACTACCAATCTTTCGAACAGAGACTGCGACAAACCTGCTCTGGCGGCTTTCTTGCACATGACTACTGGCCCTAATTGACAGTGATCGCCAACGAGGATCAACTGCTTCGCTCCGAGAACAACTGGTACCATGCATTCGGGCTCGGTTGCCTGCATGCTCTCGTCGATGAGAATCGAGTGAAACTTGAGCCTGTGCAGCCTGGGATCACCAGCTCCGACACAGGTGCAGCAAATCACGTCGGCTGCCTCTAACAACTCCTTCTCCGCCGCCTTCTTCAACAGCCTGTAACGTTTCTCGTCGACGCTGGACAACTCTCCAGTCTCGTCCTTCAACTGCTGCAGCTTCTGCAGTTCGGTATTCGTCTCCATGTTCTTGATCTGATTATGAAGAGCAAGGAAACTGACGGGCGAGTCGATCGCCTCGCGCGACTTTGCGCAAAGTCTCACGACCTTCAAGTTGGACTTGTGTATCTTCTCGGTCAGTTGGTCTACGGCCGTGTTCGAGGGAGCGCACACCAACACAGGGCCACCGTTTTGCTTCACTAGTTGGTAGACTATCGTGGCGCTGGTCACGGTCTTTCCTGTGCCAGGTGGTCCCTGGATCAGGGACAAGGGTCTCTGCACGGCGTGTTTCACAGCATACACCTGGGAACGATTCAAGTCCGGCAAGTTCGGGGCGCTGAAGTGCTTGGGAAGGTGGCAACGGAACAGGACTTCTTCCACCTCGTGGCCCAACAATCTGTGGTATATATAACCGGACACGGAAGTGTCGTCCACAGCAAACTTCCGCAACGCTAACTGCATGCTGTTACAAAAAAAAAAAAAAAATGATACATCGTAATAAGTAATATCTTTAGATAAGAAAAACTGTACCTACCGATCAAAGCTAGTACTTTTCCAAATGAAATCAACGACAAAGTTACTGACGCATTCCGTCGGCGCACCAGAATTATTCTTCAATTCGATCCCGACCTCCTCCCCGTAATTGTCAGGGATCTTAATCACGTGTCCAATCCCTGACCAAGGTTTGTGAAGCTCGCCTAGATAACGAAGCCTCAGCTCGTCCCCGTGCATCAGTTTCATGTCGCCGTCTGTTTTCGCCAGCATGAAATAAGCGATTGTCTTTTTGTTTAATCCAACGTCCCAGCGCACCTCGATGTTCTCTTGCGTTTGAGATTCCTTCAAACGCTTGTCATAATCGGCTTCTAATTTCACGAGAGGGCCGAATATATTCTGGTATTGGTATCCGTCCTCGTACCGTAAGAGTACCTGTTGCGGTTCTTCGTCTACACCGGGCTTCTCAAGATCCTGAAAGGTTGCATCGACATTGTCCCGCCACAATTCTTCCAGCTTGTTGATCTGTTGGGCCGAAATCTGTCTGGCACGCAGCTGTTCTTGCTCTGATGGGATTTTTACTAACCAAGCTAAAAAGGACCGATCCTCTATCAATGGTTTCCACTGTTCTTGATCCCTGGACAATTGAAAAATGTTAAAAAATGTTAAAAACTCGTCACGGTTGTATTTATAGTTTTGTTTCTGAAAGAGTTTACCAGTTCATGTCCTTCAACGAACTTTGAGCCGCGCACGGTTGGCGACAAAGTAACACAACAACGGAGTCTGCTTTCGCAGGAATGAAACCAAGAACAAAAACATTCCTAACGGCGCAAGAATAACACTCGAGGACCGTCTCTCCCAAAGGCCCATCTCTGCAATGTGAAGTAGAAATAGAAATTATCAGGTACAAGCGTAATTTCATGTCTAGTTAAAAGTGAAATATAGTATACCTATGTAAAGTAACTTCCTTGTGTTTGGCTCTGACAAGATGATTGATAATATGAGAACCAGATGTATTTCCACGTCCATTGCAAAACCACTTGCGGCAGACATTGCACATAACAACGCAAGACGCTTCATGAATGCCACAATATTTACATGCATGCTCCGGCAAGTCGCGATTGTAATATGCCTCTTCTTCCTCTTCTTCAAACTGTAATTCCGCAAGACTCTGCGCAGCACCAGATATCTTCAAGTCCAGAGATGAACTACCGCTTGTTCCGTTAACCTACAAGGAGAACCATCAACGCAATTACTCATTCTTGCACAGAATGAGATTCTCGACTTCGTTTAGAGAACTCGACTCTGTTTTCGACTCGGTTCACTCATTTCTTTCCTAGATCCCACGTACGGTGATTCTACATTTTTGTTTACGACATCGATGTTACTGTACTCGTTATCACTCGTGTACTAATTATCTCGTTAGAAATCAGAACCGCTTGGGACAACTTTGCACCACTTAACCTCCAAATCGCAGAGAGACCATCAATCAGCAGTCTAAAAAAAGTTGATTTAAATACAGGCTCCTCCAATTTACAACACACCAATGCGTCGCAAAAATCATTTTTGTAAACGAATTCCTTCAGGTGTAGTAAATGTCTTCGGAAAAACAAAAAAAAAAATATAGAAATCGAGAAATGTGATGAAGGAAGAAACACGGGCACAAGGTCCGATTTATCTGTTTAGGAATTACTACATGTCTGATTGAGGTTAGGTAACGTCCGCGTGATTGGAGAAAAAAATCGTCAGACGAGGTGAACGAGCAAGAATACAGGTTAGGTCGAACGCCGAGAGGCCAGAGAGGAAACGAACCTGCACAGGCTGGCTAGGTTGACTTTGGGCTGCATCGTGCTGCGATGCCTGCGTCTGGCTCGGCGAGGGCAACGTAAAGTCGGTGAAGTCGAACTCGCTGCCCTGCGTGTCCGCACCGATCAGGTCCGCCTCCTCGGTGTCGAGGAACGTCAGAGTCTGGCTGCTGGGCCCGTACGCGTCGACGCTCATCTTGCACCGATATACCCGCGATGTGCGTCCGTTCTCGTGCTTGTTACAGCCGGAGGAAACAGCGAAGGTCCTGGGCTTCTCAACTCCTGTAGCAGAGGGGCGCACACACAGAGAGTTCTTCCTTTTTTTCTGATCTCACCAGCGACGAAACAACGTGGCACGCGCACGCCACTGAACGCTGCCGTTGATTTACCGTTAGCGAAACTAAAACAGGGAAACGAGAGGGAAAAAACTACCGAGGTAGCGCGAAGTAGGGGCTCTCGAACACTGCTCAATGAAAGTGGGAATCCTACGCCATACTTCGTCTCGCGCAAGTCTCGCGCCCACCAACACCGACACGGCCACACAACGAATTTCTCTCTTACGCTCGCCGTGCGTTACGTCATCAGCTGATCACCAAGTGCGTCCCGAAGAGAATCCGAGGACCGCAAGATTGGGGAATCCCGACGAGCTTTTTTTTTCACTTCTCTGCTCGGCAACACGGTGGAGATCGCCTCTCTCGCGATTCGGTCCTTCGTGCCGATCGCTCTCGAAATTTTTATCGGTTAAACGTAAGATAAACGCCAGATTTTGTAGCATCCCGACAGATGGCGGCGCGGCATTTCTGAGAGAATGGTTCCGGTGTACAGAGAGTGTCTCAAACGTTGTTCAGCACAGACGAGATACGTGTATGAATAGATCCCTCGCATCTTATGGGATTTTGTGTCCCATGCTCTGTAAAGAATCACTGCTTTTTTTTAGCGCATAACGCTACGCTCAAACGATGAGTTTGGGGAATTACGTCGAGTAAAACGATCGAAGTTTATCAAAGTTGAGTAGTGAATGCGCTAAAAACGCATGGATTTTTAAAATCCAACAGTGTGTTGTCAAACATTCAATATCGAAACTAACCAAAAGCATTCTATTACATATCATAAAGATCCATGTTTTACGGATTTATCATGGCTTTTTTTAACATAGAGTAAATTAAAATTTTAAGATTATTAACCCTTTGCACTCGAGACTCTCGTGACTCTCAGGCACCACTTGGATTGATATGGTATCTCGAATGGCGACAATGTTTATTTATGTTTGATTTCTTTATGTCGCTTCATGATTGGGTTCCTAAACTCTTTACGTATAATCTTACGAAGTGTAAAATGATACACTTTCAAATGGCTATAAGATTTTTTTATTTCAAATTGGACCATCTTCCATTATTATAGGAATATTATTTTCAAAGTTTTTGAGCCCTGTAAGCTAACCCTGGAATGTAGTAATGAAATCAATTCAAGTGAAAATGAATTTGATTTGTCGTTGGTAAATGATGAAATTACTTCTATACATAAAGTAATTGACGATAGAGAGAAGGAAAGTAGTGATGAAGACAGAGATGAAGTAAGAAGTGTAAAAAGGCTAAAAATAAGAATGATAGACAATGAATCAAGAGTGATAGTGGCTCGCAGGAGACACAAAAAATTCAGAAAGGCACAGAATCGGAAGATTTCTAGATTGCTTTCAGCTGTTTTTCACCGATTAATGAAATAATATGTGAAACAAATAATTATGCTACAAAAAAGTTAGAAGGAAAAGTACCATCATGTTTGATATGGTGAACTTGGCATTATATGACCATTGAAGAATTCTAAGTTTTTATTGGAGTAATAATAAATATGGGAATTATGCCGTTGGTAAACTTACAAGAGTACTGGTCAAGGAATAATGTTAGCTACATTTCTTTTCATTCAAACACATTCACGAGAGACAGATTCAGTCAGATTTTTTGGATGCTTCATTTGATTCAAACATGAATCGATGAAACAATTTCGGTACAACATATAAATCCAAGAACAAATTTGCAGCTAGTAAGTTGCTTCCTCGATTACATAAATTCAAAATTTTTGAATTATTTTATATTGGGAGAACAGATTTGTGTGGATGAATCTATTATCAAATTCAAAGGTCGGATCATTTATTGCCTATAAACCAAAGAAACCAACTAAATGGGATAGAGTTTACACGATGGCAGATTCAAATATTGACTGTTTGTGGTATTCTGCCCTATTATGGAACTTTCACAACAGAGAATTGTTAAGACCTGATCTTCCGGTATCAACCAGAATTTCATTACACCTTTACAAAATGTTAGATAAAATTCCTGGACACCATATGTTCATGGATCGGTATTATACAAGCTATATCTTGAAGAATTACCCAATCTGAAATGCCATTTAACTGGAACGATCCTAACAAATGGCAAATAATTGCCAAATATAATAAATCTAATAAATCTAATAAAAAACTAAAATTCAACAAGAAATTCACGATAGCATATCGCAAAGATAATACTTTAGTTCTGGCATGGAAAGACAAAAGAATCGTCACATCTTCTTTGACCACTTGGGATAATGCGGGAAAACCCAATGTTATCATAAACTACATAAAATATATGGGCGGCGTTAATCAAGGGGATCAGTATGCCTCGACTGTTTTTTAAGAATGTCCTTGAAATGGTGACAAACTATTTTTTTGGGGTTTAGAGATATGTTTAATTAATTCTTATATTCTATATAAATCAGAGAAACGAACGCTTAGTCATCTGCAGTATATAAAAACTTTAGTTGAACAATTTAGAGGAGATTTTCACCAGGCTCGTGATCGAGCTTCTACCTTCAGTTTCGATGAAGTCCGTTCAAATGGAAAGTTGCATGTTATTTTAACGGGAATTAAGAAGGGCTGCAAGATTTGCTCTCAACGAAATAAACCAGGCAAAAAACATCAAACAACATTTTACTGCGATTTTACTTGTTCTGACAAACCGAGAATGCATCTTGGCGATTCTTTTATAAAATATCATACAAAGCAACAATACAGAGCATAATAATATTATTTATAATATAACATAATAATATTTAATAAATTTTCTTCTTTGAGATGTCAAGATACATAAAATATTTAAATATGAAAGTTTTATACGTTTGCTGTGAAATTATTTTAGTTAGCACATAAGTTAGCTGTAAGAAATTCACCAAACATGCGGAAAATCGTCTCAAATTGCTGGTTCGCCCGAGCGAAAAAGACTTCGAGCGCTAAGAGTTAATACACGAGTTTAGTTACAAATTTATATTTTACAGAATATTTTTCGTTTCAAAACTATATGAACAAATAACATCATACTATGAAAATGAAAATATGTATAGTTTAAGAAAATAAATTTTAGTCGATGGATCTATAGACGAGGTGCACGATAGACGCGAAAATACAGTTACTTTTGAGTAGACGATATTTCAAAGTATCACGAATTTCCATAAGAGGTTAGGTTTGCTCTGCCATAGACGAGGTATATACATAGATGTTACATCTTATTATCTTTGTGTTCCGTACTCTGAAATATCGACAGAGTAAAAAGTCGGTGGTGATGTAGCGCACTCTATGCTTAAATAATGAAAATGACAAATTGGAAAACGACTAAAATTGACCGAATAGTGAATGCTCCAGAAACATGATTTTTAAATCGCTTCAATTTTCAATATCGAAATGTGAAGCTGAACTGATTGAAATCATTCTACTACATATCACAAAGAGTTCTATTCACGTTTTACGGATTTATAATAGTTTTTTTTTATATGTAGTAAATTAAAATTTTAGAATAATGCATGGTTAGGTTTGGATAACGATGCATTTGAAAAGTAGAAGTTTTCGAGCTTTAAAACGAGCTCAAGTTTATTGTTCCATGATCTTATATTTATATATTATATATTTATATTATATTATATTTATATTTTAATATAAATATATTTTATATATTTTATATATTTATAACAGTTTATTTAGTGCCTGAATATTAATGGGAGTCACTTGCCATAAACATTGCTTTTGGAGTAATCAACGTAATGAAGAACTGAAAGAGGGAAATTAAGATCGTTAAAATATTTGGAATTATTTCTCGTAATTGCAGCAAAGAATAAGCGTGATTCGTTGTATTTTCGAACTGTTTATTGTCGAGTTTCTTTTTCTAGATACGTACATACATACATGAACGTAACAATAATCCTAGCAAACCTATAACCTATACTAGAAGTAATAATAAATACAAAATTCCATATATATATATACAAAAAACTCGCTTTTTTCGAGTTTTATCAACTTCTATGCTCTCCGAGTACATATTAATTCATAAATGTCCATTATTTCTATTCATTACATTAAATTACTTCGTAATACATCGATCTCATAATAGATCTCTTAAAATATAACGTCTCGATACATCGTGATTATACGTCGTGTATAATATGCACAAACAGATCTCAAGCCGTTTCCTCGAAGCGGTACAAAAATGTTTTCTCGCTGGATAAAATCGATTCAATCGAAACAAGACAGATGTCATACTTGTTCTCAGGTTTGAACTTCGATGTATGAAAATGTTTTTTTATCTTTTTATAATGCCTGTACTGTGAGATCAGTCTCGCGCGACGGTACGCTGATTGAAATTTTAATCAAACTACTTTGTTGATCGATTCAAAAGCCAGACAAGAGTTTGATAATTAACTGCTCAAAAAATTGAAGTTCATTGCCTTCGAATCGATCGTGATCCTTGATTGAAAGAACAATCTGATGTCCGACGTCGAAGAAAGCATGAAGTTTGCACATCCTTCAGTTCATTCGATTCGTTACGACAGATGTGGATAAATCATGGAGGATACCAATATCAATTCCACCATTGGACAAACGATAAATATGATTACTCCTTCCAAAATCTATGAAACATCACAATACCCAATCTCAAAAACTACAGTCTGTAATCATTTTCTAGGATATTCTACTCTCCTATATGTTCTCTCTTGTTGTTGTCATCGTCACGCTACAAGATGGCACTGCAATATGTCTTCTTCTCAACGTGCTTTAATCTTGGATCGAACATTTATTTCAATAGTCCTACGTGTCTATTAATGTCCAACAATAATCTTCGTTCTTTCAAGAGGATCACTGCACGTGGATCACTCTTGAGAAGCTGCCAATAATCAGTTCAATCGATTATTTAGCAAGTCTTGTATAAAAAAGAAAAATGATCACTTAAATCTAATGAGATTTATAGTCAATACTGAGGATTCGGTGAATTCCTCTGGAAGGTACTTTGCTGATTCTGCTGCAACGGCCCGGCTGGACTGGGTCTCCCTTGTTCGCGATACTGAGGAGGGCCAGCTGGCCCGTTAGGAGGGCCGGTTGATCCAGGAGGTGGTCCAGGTACCTTTCCATAATTGCCTCGCGTCGAGCCTTGATAACTACCGTACGCAGAATCGTCGCTGCGTCTGGAAATGTGCCCGTACATACTTTCCGGCCTTCTAGAATTCACCGCGTTGTCCGAGTTGGTGGATATCGTTCCGTTCTGATGCTGCTGCTGCTGCTGTTGTTGTTGCTGCTGCTGCTGCTGTTGTTGCTGTTGCTGCTGATGATGATTCTGAACAGAGGATTGGACGTTTGGACCCGATTGCTGAGGATTCTGGCTACCCGGGGGAGGGACCGGGGCCCGACCGTATATGCTGGTCCCCGCAGACATACCGTAGACACCGTTCTCCCTGCTACTGAGGCTCGTCGAGATCCCTCTGATCCCGTAAATGCTCTGCGTGCACTGTTGCAGCTGATTCTGCATATTCTGGTTCGTGCTGTTGTGATTCTGCGAGCTCTGACTCTGGCCGTTCGAACTATTTTGCTGTTGGCTGTCTCTGCCGCCCGCGCTCGAACCGGTTTGCCCTATTCTGATCGGGTAAAGGCTCTGCGCAGGGACCAGGGGACCCGGTTTCGGGATCATCAAGCCGTCCCGTGCCCCGGAAGTGGACTTGGCGTACACGCTCTGCGAGCGATTTAAATTCGCTCTGGTCAGGGGCGGAGACTTGCAGTAGAGTGATTTGGTGCCCCCGTAGATCGATTCCACGCGTTCCAGAGCTGTCGGCGGTGCGCTGTAGATGGAAGAGGACGCTCCGACGACCGGACGATAGGTGGCGTACGCGCTCGGGAATTTCGGACCCGTCGGTTTATCCAGATCGTCGTACGTGTCCTCGTCGGATCTCATCGACGAGTTGTCGCCGTCGTCCATGTCTCGCGGGTCCCTGGACCGTTTTGGATTCAGAACGTACTCGTGGAGAAGGGCCGCCACCGCGCTTCCGGACAGTGGGCCCACCCAGTACACCCAGTGGTTGTCCCAACGGTTGCTGACGAACGCTGGCCCAAGTGCGCGAGCAGGGTTCAAAAACGGACTCTGAAACGTGAATAATAAAGATATTCATATTTACCTGTTCGTGCACGATGATCGTTGTAATTTCCTATTTTACGCTTTTCAGACTGTACGTGTGATACGGAAAAAGTGACACCGAATACTCGAGTTAGCAAACCGTGGTCTGTTTTTTTTTTTCGCACGAGGTACAAGTATTCGGATTTTTCTCTTTGGAGTATACACACACACACACACACGCGCGCGCGCGCGCGCGCGCGTTTTCAGAGCAGGTGGAACTGAGAAATCCAGTTCTTTCTTTTTTTCTCTTTCTCTCCCTTTTTCTGTCTCCTTCTCTCTTTCTGATTCCTCTCCCTACCCACTGTTAAACTGCAGGTGCTGTTTAAAGATGCGGACGTGGGTCTGATTCGAAAGAAATCGAGAGCCGTTTTGGATAGACCGGTTGGCCGCGGAGAAGAATGCGTACAATGGGAAAGAGAGGGGGAAAAAAAAAGAAAGTACTACTGTCTTAGAGACAGAGTTCTCTGTACCGACACGATGTTCCTTTTCCTTTTTTCCTTCTTCTTTTTCTCCTTCTTTCTATCAACAACAAGCTCGTGCATTTAAGCATTTTGGGACCGGAAGTGACGCGTGCGTGTGTACATGTATGTACTTACTGAAACCAAAGTGGCAGCTGTATAAGCCGCGGCTAACACGCCAGCTGGTTTCGATGATATTGACGTTGACAACGCTTTCGAGGATTCGGAGGTGAAATGGGCCAGAACTATCAGCACAGAGAGTGTCAATTCTACCAGAAGCCTCTCGATAGGGCCCCCGAGGCGGCCAATGGAACTTAAGGTCTGCGTGTTGGACGGCGTGGTCACCCTGCAATGAAACAAAAATTAATAGTTAGTTGAATTAATTGTTACTTGGGCCAGATTTCAAAAAAGTTAAAGTTAAAAAAAATAGGAATAGGAAAGTATCGATCAGCCCTACGAAACGATACGCCTGCGTATGACGTGTCATGATGATATTAATGTACGATGATTCTCCTATTGAAGGTTACTGTGACAACGACTATCGGGCAGTTGAAGAGCTCCCTGCGGCAAGCCAGTCCCTGTGGTGCAATGTTTATATTAGCCGGTGCGTCGTCGTCGCCCATGGGCTTCATTCATCGCCTTCTCCCTCTCGCCTTGTTTCCTTTTGCATGGACTGCTCGTTAATTTTCTCAGTTCGCGCAATCACACAGGGTCACAAGCACACGACCTTCTCTATTTTATATAGCAACTGTTATACTATTGAATATCAAAAAGAATTTCACAGTGATGGATCTTCGTTTATGATTGGCATTCAGTAGACAAAATGAGAGACTTGTACTCTGAGAGCAAGATACTGAAAAATTTACACTTTGGATCTTGATGTTCAAAATTTATCAGAAATGTTGAAGTGGACCAGCCGAATATTAGTACTGAACCTTTCTTTACAAATGTTCGTTTATTTTCTTTGTAAATCAACATTTTAATATTAGATATCAATTATCATGTTAATTTTATAAATCAATCACTGTTAATCATATAATATATAATATATACATGTGTATATGACACACAATTAACATTGATTAATTTGTAAAATTAATATAATAATTGATTAAAATGTTGATTTATAAAATTAATTAATTAATCACATGATGTAAATCATGTAATATATCACTAATTTACATTATATGACACAAATCAATATTAATCATTAATATAATAACTGATATGCATACATTATCACATTAATATAATAACTGATATGTATACATTTTAATCAATTATATATTTAATTGATTTATAAAATTGACTAATAATTAATACATTTAATACATGATTAATATTTATATAATTGATCATATAATACATGATTAACATTTATATAATTGATCATATAATACATGATTAATATTTATATAACTGATCAAATGATATATGATTAATATTAATAATTGGTATTTATAATAATTGATCATATAATAAGTGATTAATATTTCTATAATTGGTCATATAATACGTGATTTAATATTTATATAATTGATCATATAATAAATGATTAACATTTCTATAATTGATCATATAATACATGATTAGTATATGGTATATAAACCAGTATTAATCGTACATTAATTTTACAAATCAATAATTTTAATCAACAATAAGTACAAACATCACTTGAAAGCACATTAACGTCAATTCCTTTTCAAATGCGTATCGTTTTGTCTCGAGTGGATTAATGGAAACAGTCGGGTTCAAAGTAACCGAGAAATGAGATCACCATTTGCTGCAAGAATTAACAAGATGCACCTGTACACGTAGGCACCTTTCGGATCGCAGGATTATCGAACAGTTCCGAGGGACAAACGGTTCCCTAATCTCACTATTAAACGCGCCGGATCACCGCACCCTACGTGAAATATATATTGTCACATCGACAGAAAATTCCCCCTTCCCGTTTGAAGTGTAATGCAAATGGGGCAAGCCCCCCTCCCTTTCTCTCTTTCTTTCACTCTGCTCGGCCTCTTTATCTCGAGAGGCCTCGTGATCGTGTCACGAGAGAGCGAATTGATGAAATCAGAAATGCAGATCATGACCGCACAATTGGGATTAACTGTGTCGTTCGTAGATGAAATATTGGGTGGAAATACACAAGAGAAAAAAAAAAAAAAAAGAAAAGAAGAATGAATTCTTTTGTGAGATTCAGAGTGATAAGCGGATTTAGAGGTTATTGGCTGTCTATGGTCGAGTTAATTGTGACAAATTCAGCGCGGTAAAATGATGTAAATATCCTCCTGTTATTTCTTTTTCTTTTTTTTTTGAATACATTCGTTGACAATTTTTTTCAGAATATATACCCAAAGAGAGGCTGAAAGAATTTCAGTTCCATTTCAATCCTCTTTTTTTTTTAAGAGACCCATTTTCGCTACAGATAAAAAAGGGGAACACTCTTTACACCTCTTGGTACTCTCTTTGTTCCGCCAAAGTGCGGACAAGCCTCCATTTTCTTTAGACTAAAAACCTTTCTGCGACAGAAAGTTTTCCGCCGTACGAGCATCGGTCTGAAAATGTAACGAAGCAGCCTCCATTTGAATCTTGTGTACCAACAAATCCACGCAAAACTAGCGAATCCTTCCTCCTTTTCATGGACGATCGTTCTTTGTAATTATCCGTAAAAAAAAAAAAAGATTAATCACAGTTTCCCTTTTCACAGGATGTAACAAAAAAAAAGCCTCGTTTTTTTGTGATCCCACGTCGTCATTCGATATTTCCCAGGAAAGAAGATTCAAAAAGCAATACTCTCCCACGGACGCCGGCCGTTTTCTCACGTTTTCCGCTCGAGAAGTTGCGATCGCCCGCCTCGTCGTCAATCCCGCGTGGCACTTGACTCGAGGAACCGTGTGCAACCTGTGCTCCATATTCGCACGAGGGGGGGGTAACCGAATCCGAGGAGACACCCTCGAGGGTCCAGCGAGTGACACGACGTTTAAAATAAATTTCAATTCGAGCCAGAAGGGGTGGTGATGTGTATCACTTTCACCTATGGGTCTCTGTCGTGTTTAACGAGCTATTGATATCTTCCACCCACTAGGGGGAACTCCCCCAGAGTGCGTAGCAGTCGAAGCTACATACATGTATATATAGCTATAGTATTCTAGTCGTTAGTGGCTCCCCCCTTCCATTTTTCGGTCAGGAAAACCGCCACATGTGTACGACGCGTGTTGAAAGCCGGGCCGAGTGGAGTGTCGATCTCCAGTGATCTCTATTCTAAAGTCTTGCCCTATGGGAAAGTTCAGATGCTCCGGTAGTTGCGGTTAAACCAGAAAATTAGGTTCACGGTGAACGAGAGCGAGTGCGATTGTGGGAAGTTTTGCAAGAAGCTTGACCGGTCTTTCCCTTGTGGGACGACAAACTCTATTGAGTGTCGCGCCTCTACCGGGAGATTGTAGTCGATGAAGTTTTACTTTTAGACAGGAAGGCAACTTTTCACTGCAATTCAAAGCGAGCGGACTTCTTGGAACGTGGCCTGCACAATGAGGTTCCTTTTATTCGTACGCCCGGTTTCCCGTCATCCTGCTTTTTTTACACAAAATTCTTATAAAGTAAGCGGAACGATTAATTTCGGAGGAACGATTTTTCTCAGGTACGGTGCACACGCGGTTTTGTGCACGCACTATATATCCATCGACCATAGAAATTGTCCCGGGCGACAAAGCACAGGAATTCTTTGAAAAGAGCATGGAAGCAGGTCGGGGCCTCAGAATTCTATCCTTCTGCCCGCCGCGAAGGGGAAACATGTGAAAAAGGGGCCAGGAAGTGCATACACCTACGAGGATCCGTTTCTCCGACGAGCAGCAAGCAAACGCGGCTGAACCGTTTTTCTCGTTCTTGTCCAACGTTCCGTTATTCGCAGCAATTCTCGATTAATTCATTAATTCATTAATATTTTAATAATTTATCAATATTAATTCATTAATATTCAGAATCCTATTAATAGGATGCAAACTTGATGCTTCAGAAAATTCCTTTGTATAGAAAATTTAATTGGAGAAATTCATTAATATTAATTCATTTCATCAATTTAATACATTAATGTTAAAATAGAATCAATTAACTTTAAAGAGAATTTGTATAATCATATTTTAGAATCCTATTAATAGGATTTAAACTTGATGCTTCAAAAAAACCTTTTGTATACAAAATTATAATATTTTAATTCATTAATATTAATATTAAAATTAGTTATTTAAAGAGAATTTAAGTGATGAAGATCTCAGAATCTTATTACAGGCAAATTTGATGCTTCAAAGTTCCTTTGTATGCAAAATTTAATTAGTGAAATTCCTTAATATTATAATATTTTAATTCATTAATATTAAAACAGAATTAGTCATTTAAAGAGAACTTAAATAATTGAGATTTTAGAACCCTATTAATAGGCAAATTTGATATTTCAAAGTTTCTTTGTTTAAAAAATTTAATTGGAGAAATTCAATAATGTTATAATATTGTAATTCATTAATATTACAGTAGAATCAACTGTTTAAAAAGAACTTAAATAATTAAGATTTCAGAATCCTATCAATAGGATGCAAACTTGATGCTTCAGAAAATTCCTTTGTATGCAAAATTTAATTGGAGAAATTCATTAATGTTATATTTTTTAATACATTAATGTTAAAATAGAATCAACTAATTTTAAAGAGAATTTGTATAATCAAGATTTTAGAATCCTATTAATAGGATTTAAACTTGATGTTTCAGAAAGTTCTTTTATATACAAAATTTAATTGGAGAAACGTCTCCCTCTTAAATTTGAGCATTTGGTCTGTACGTTTTAAAATTCCTTTCAACTAAACTAACACAGCAAGTACGAGATTTTCGGGTTCATCATTACATCGATTATTCATTACCTTTGTAGATTCACAGCGGCGATATCCAAGCTCTGCTAAGATACGAGAGAGAGAAAGAGAAAGAAAGAGAGAGAGAGAAAGAGAGAAACCTCGGCAGCTGGTCTTGAAGATTGTTGCCGATCCTCCTATATAGAATCCTATATAAATCGTAGGTCTTGGCTTTCTACGGGGAAACACGTGCCAGCCACATGTTGCACAAAAGGAATCCTCAGTGGTCCTTTCGAATATCCATAGCGTAAAGTCGCAGTTACAAAGGAGCTTTAGGAGGCCCATAAATGATTCTCTTTCGGTCGAAGGATACGAAACAGCGGCAGATGTTTTGCGTCTTTATCTCTTCAAACATGTCGAACTCACTGCTATGTGCACGCGTTTCGGAAGGAGGATGGAAAATACATACAGTTACATGCTTCGAAGAGACTCAGCTGTTGAAAACAAAATTTTTCACAATGGAACATCACTTGGAACGTATAAGGTATAGGGTTGAAAGTATAAGGTTTAGGTTAGGTTTGGTTAGTTGATATTAAAGTTTAATTCATATTATTTGGTTAGTTGATATAAAATTCTATGAATTCTATTCATGACTTTGATTTTCTTATGTTTTCAATGAAAATTATAGTGCAAGTAAGATTTTTTCAAGTGAGTCTTTCAAAATGGGGAGAAGAAACCGTGATTGATCACGTGTCAGCGTTAGGGAATGGATTTTGTTGGCTGGGTCAACAGGCAAACTACGCATGCATCTTAATCACACGACCTAACAATCAAGAAATACGTATGATTCTTAAGAACGAACACGTGGTTGTGACCATCTGTTGGCATCCTGCTTCGTTCATCCCACCCTAAGCTAGAACCTTTTCGCTTTGCGAGTTCTTTTCTCCCACATCCAGAGATCAATGTGCATCCTCTCATGGCTGTTTTATTTCTCAAACCAAGGTAAATGTACCTTTTATACTTCTCAAGAGAAGAAGAGAACTAAGATAGAACATTAAATCATAATTGTGACGCTTGTTTTTAGCTTAAAAGTTAAGAGCTGTCCAAATGACATCAATTAAAAATGAAATAAAATAGAGAAGAACGAGTAATGATTGTAGAAACAAAACAGAAGAAACCCTCAGTCCAGAATATTCGTCCTTGTAAAATACAGAAGGCAATTAATTTGACCAACTTCTAAAATTTAGAAGTTTTCAACGAGTTGAAACACTGAGAACCTTTTCTTTTATTACATCCACCAATTCTTCGTGAAACCACCGCAAGAAACATAAAAGCTGGAAACATAAACTTTCCCAGCGTGTAACGCGTTCAAATATTTAGCTTGGAGAGCGACATCACGCGTTTTTAGCTGCGAGTCAGGGATTTCAAGAGGTGCATGAAACAACGTCATATGTTCCCTTTTTTTTTTCTTCTTCTCATCATCAACCGCTCCGAATTTATTTTTACTAACGAAGAGGTGCGTTCCCGGTGTCGCTTTTGTGCCGCAGGACACGTTATCGTTAACGACTGGAATAACGTTCTCGAACGAGGAATAACTGTCGCAAACGATTCAAAGTTGTAAAAGCTGGAGCATCGCGGGTATCGAGCAAAGCGATCCGCTTTGTGTCGGCGGTAAAAGGTGTTCCAAGCAGGTAAAACATTCCTACTGAAACGGTTCTACCTGACCCACCTGGCTTTCACGCTACATTTTAGGCTCAACAACAGTCTCTCTCGTGTGTGTATCTCGTGTATCGACGTTCAAAGAGGACCAGCTACAAACGCAGAATCTCGGACTGATGAAAGAAAAATATGACGTAATGTGCAGATGTATGTACTGATACATGTATCAGACCTGGAGATTTATTTCGAGTAATAATTTGTAATCAGTTTTTGAAGTAATGTTCTTTAGTATTTGGCAATTAATTTCAATTAATGGTACGTTGCTCATTTGGTCATTTAAAGGAATTTGAAGCAATGCAAATAATTGGGAAAATAGTAAATTGAAGAGCTGATTATTTGAAAAGAAAGGAAAAAAAAATTAATGTAATTTAATGAAATATTTGATAATATAATTTCGTTATTTTACAAATAGATTATTTCTGAAATAACTTTAAAAATAATGTTATTTCAAAATTTTTCAAAATTTTTCAAAATCCCTAGGTCTGATATGTATATGATATCATACTGATTACGTAAAAAAAAAAAAATTCAGTTTTAAACTTGTAATATTTAAACTGTACGAGCTTGAGATACATCTGTGGAAGTTAATAGTGTACACACGCGTTTGATTGGTCGATGAATTATCTTTGTAGGAAACTCGGAGGAAAGAAGACCTCCCCCTCTTCTTATCTTGACTGAGAGTATTGAAGGCCCTTGAAATCGCAGCTTAGGAACCTAATATCGAAGGCTTTCGAAGAGACTTGAATATTGCTTGCCGTCTTGTAATCTGTCTCTTCCTTTTGGAAAACTGCAGCTTTACGACGAATGACATTCCTCGTGACCACGACGAATTTTCTTCGTGCCCTTCACGTGTCAATTCTTTACAAGTTTTCTTTCTTTTTTCTTCTCTCTCTCTCTCTCTCTATTTTGTTTCATTGCTCATTTCGATTAATTAAATTACAGTTTCGAACGATTGTGATTAAGTAGAGAAACGACTGGAGAATTGATCCAAATTTTTTTAAAGCGTTAAGCGCGATTGTACAGTCTCCAGGAGAACAGGAAATTCATGGATGAAGCTGTTTCTTCGCTGGACATCCGGCTTGCCACGCGCACTGCGTGTGTCTTGCTTGACGTCACAACACACACCTGCTTCCTCACAGCTGTTCTCCAGTCCTTTGGTGGCAAACTCCCTTGACAAATACTTTTTACCTTCCTCTGGACTGATAATCCTCCATCCTTCTTCGGAAAATCTCTGATGTCGCTTCGATCGCTCCTTTGCTTTACAATTCATGGATAGGAGAAAAATTTGATATAGTTTCTTCTGATAATTATTTCTGACAATATAAAAATTATTTCTTTTTTCGAATATCGTGTATTTTATAAACGATCTTTCCTGAGCTTCCAAATAAGTTTTTTCTGTTTCTATTGAAGACATTTGAATTCGCTTGAGAATTTCAGCTTTTGTTTAAAACTCACGTATTCTAGTAATTTACTGGAAATATTTTTGTTACATTCTCTTTCCTGAATGCTCGTTCGAAAATTCAAATGTAATTAGTTGCCTGTAAAAATGTGGATCATTGTGGATCCTCTTCCTTAGGTTAAGTTTCCACGGTGTGAAAAAAAAGAAGAAAGCACATGGTAGGATAATGGGAAAATCTTGTAACGCGTCGATGAAGTGATACTAAATCCTTTCCGGATAGTTAGACTCGCGGTTCTCCCATAATCTTTTGGGTCGTGTCAGTTCGGTTTACGATTTATCTGCTCTCGGCTGTCTCTCCATTTCATTTTTTATTTATATTCCGGGGAAGTGTCGCATTGGGAGCGGCGCGTCCCCTCGACGAAACGCAAGGATACCTGTTTTACAAACGCCATCTAACACACGCACGTACACATACGCGCATGCTACGAAGTGACCCACTCGCAACAGATGCAAAGAATACGCTAGTTGTTTCTTTCCTCGTCTCTCCCCCGCCATCACGCCTTTTTTCCTCAGTCTCTCTTTTTTTTCCTTTCCCGCCTCCCTTCGCCGGGGCGCACGCACATTTCCCCAGAGACGTTCCTCGAAGGGATGACGAACCTGGGTAGTTAACCAGAGTATTGTTCGATTATTATTTCGGTACATATCGCGCACTTGTTATCTCTTTGTGCGGTCATATGGTGGCCTTAAGGGTGATTCTCGCCGCGAATGACGGATCTGCTGTTGCGTCGAAGCGCCAAAAATGTCCTATAGTCATCCACGATCTCATACCGTGTGACGTTTCGTTTCCATCTTCTGGCGTTGCAAACACCATCGCACATGCGGATGTCTCAAGTTCAGAAGCAAGAAATGAATGGCTCGCGAAAGAAATGCGATCTTCCATTACTTCTTCCAAAAAAATATTTATGCAAATACGTCTATATCTTCATTTTTCTGTTAAGATAATCGATAATGAAATATACGTCGCGCTTTTTGTTTACGAGTGCTCTAGATTAACCTAAATTTAAATCATTTTTTAATCTTCGAAACAGTTTTCAAACAATCGTTCTATTTTTCACTTATGTGTAATCTAAATTATTCAGATTATTTTTAGGTTATTTGTAAGTGAAAAATGGAACGATCCAAATTATTTAGATTACCTTTAGGTTATTCGAAAAATGGAATGATCTAGATTATTTAGATTATTTTTAAATTATTTGTAAGTTAAAAATGGGAAGATTGTTTAAAAACTAAAAGATTGCTAGAAAACTAAAAATGATATAAATTTAGACCTAGAGCAAACATTATATATAGAGACAAAAAGCGCAAAAATTGTTCCATTTTTCATTTACACATAACCTAAATTATTTAGATTATTTTTAGATTATTTTCACATTATTTTCACATTTAAGTGAAAAATTGTTTTAGACGATTGTTTAAAAACTCTTCGAACGCTCAATTGTTTGAGACAATCACTGAGGAAAAACATCGCAACTTTTTCAACATTAATGGATATTGGATAATGACATTCGAGATATATCATTCAGGCGATGAACCCTACGGGGAGTGTTCCTACTTTTTTTCCTTTGGCCACAGAACATTGATGAAATTTCACAGGGACACTGAATATGTTACAAAGAAGTTCCTCTATTCTTCTCTGTGACTTCTATGGAACAATATCAGGGGTTTGCAATGTCCATGCAACCTGTATCAACCTGTATACCTTCTGCTCACCGATTAAATACTTCTCAGGTATTTCTTTGCCAATTATCCTGTCATTAATTACATTATCACTAGCCATACAATGAGTGTTTCTACTTTTTTCCCTTGGCTACAGGACATTGGTTAAATTTCATGAAAAACGTTTAATAGATTACAAGAGAATTTCTCCATTCTCTGTGACTTCTATGGAACAATATCAGGGGTGCATGCAACCTGCATGAACCTGTAAGTTCGGCTCACCGACCAAATACTTCTCAGGTATCTCTTTGCAACGTTATTGCCAATTATTGCGTTATTACATCTTTGTCCATCTTCGCGTTACAATATCCTTTTCTACAATTCTTGATTCACGATTCTGTCTTTTCAGATATCTTCCTGTATCGAAGATCGGTATTCCGAACAGACTATTACGACGAGGTAAAGAAAAAGTGACGAGGTAAGAAAGAGGAAAGAAGAAAGCGAGGGAGACGAGGATAAAGGGAGAAAGGGAGGACAATGATCCTCGGAAACGTAGAAAACATCTGCTCTGGGGCCGAATCGCAGCGCGTCCTCCTTCAATGAGAGGCGATCGCGTCGTGAAACTTGTCCCACCTTGGCGCGCATAGGTATTCATTATCCTTGTCTCTGGTGCCTGCTCGATCTTTCTCCTGTACAATCTTTTTTGGTCCATGGAACATCTGCGGCAGCTGCGAGGCGGTGGTCTGCCACAGCGTACACGGAACGAGGCAGGTGCTCACCTCTGAAGAAGCTTCTCCCTCTAGCTCTGCCAATTACGCGTGCCTCTTTCTGCCTCCGCCACTCTCTCCCTCCCTCCTTCCCTCTGTCTCTTCCCCGTCTACCACCTCCTCGTTTTTTTTCTTCTCCTTTTTGCAATTTTTTCACCGATAGCCGCTGAATAACCGAATATAATTAAATAGTCTAAAATTATGAGGCATTTGAACTGCTGTGTACGTTGAGACAATATTTTGCCGCAGAGAGGAGTTTTCATGAAGTTTTCATTTACCTTGTAGCACGTTTGTGTGGCATTTCACCAGATATTACATTATACACATTGTGCAAGTAGATTTAAATATATTTAACATAAGATATATTTAAATCTACGCTTCATCATTTTTCACGGTCTAGCAAATCTAGAATAATCCTACATTTCAATTATTTTCAGATGGTCATTCTTTGCGAAGGAAAAAGAGAAAGCATGGCGTTTCTTCACAAAGAAAGAGAAACCCTATCACGTTTAGAAATCAGAAGAAAGAGAAACAATCCGTTCTGTTTTCCTCCGGAACAATGAAAAAGGGATTTGACCTAAGTGATGGAATAAGCATCCTGGAAGCCTCTCTTCTCCCCTCTTCGTGTTTTTTTTCTCGCTTTCTTGCAGCGCGAGATCCTTTAACCACGGGCAAAATCGAGGCACGTGCACCAACTTGCACGCGGCCAATCTCGTTTTCTCTCTCTTTCTCTCGGATACATCATTATGGCAGCACGCTCGGCGCGGTGTCCTGATCATCGACTGACCATGGAAACCCCTGCTGCTCTCCACGGATTATAGACCATCCACGCGGGCCCATGAGTTAATGATAGAGATGCGAATATCGATGAACAACGTAATAACGACCCGCAAGTGCTTATTTCAAAGCGTCAGCCAATTCCTGCAATTGTGGCCAATAGCTCTACGTAAGGGAGGGGACGAAGTATTCCACAAAGTGACATAAAAATAAGGCAACCCAAAGTCTTTAATGTACGCATTTCACTTGCTTTCAGTCAAAGCATTTAAACTTTTGGTAATCTCGATTGCGTTCTTACAGGTAAAATTCAGTCAAAATACATGGAAGTTTTTACACTGGAGAGTGATTTTCTATACGCAGACAGTATGTATTTATATTTTACTTGCTTTTGTCAAAATTTCCAGTTGCTTTTAAATTTTCAATAATCTCACTTGCATTCATCGTTATTACAGGCAAATTTCAATTAAAATAGATGAAAGTTTCTGGACAGTAATTTTGTATCGTTACATACAGATTTAGTGGGTGGTTTCACGTCTCAGTTCGAGGTATATGTACTCGTGAAACCGGAAATATATTAGGAAGGTTTCTCTCCCAACGATTCGGTTGGAAGTTTGAGAGATTTACAGGAAGAACACGGTTGTTTATACTGTGTACTGGCATGTAAAAATTATGCAGAAACGTATGCATGCTGCTATCTAAGATGAGTTCTTGAAAACATTTTGTCCGTATACAATATCCTTATATTTTTCTTACTTATTTTAAATTTTAACATATAATAACTTTTATAAAGTTAAAATGGTTGTAAAACATTCTGGAGGGATGAGAAAGCTTCCGGGGGCCCGACCACGCGGCTTTCTTGGATTCCGTATCTAGCAGCTGCCCTCTTGGGGCCTCCTATCTCGCCTCTTTTTCCACACCATGATTTTTTTCTAATGCGTGTGTGGAGAGAAATATTTGCTTTGGAAATACACTGCGTTCAAGCCTTCTCACTCAGAGCGAGAGTTTTATAGATTTTCAAACTGCGTTGAAGCAAAAGTTGGAGAATTCAATTACGATTTCTTTGACAAATTGAAGGAACTACGTTTCTTTAATATTTAATATTCAAGAGAATGTTCAACTGCGTTTCTTCAACGTTTAATATGCAACTACGATGGTGTAAAAAAAAAAAAGGAAAAGAAGAAAGAAAGAAGAGAGGGGTTGAAAATTGTTCATGAATCTTACAAGTGTCCGTTATGTAATACTTTTAGAACGATCACTCACCCGTACAGCATCGCAGCACCGGCTATTCCACCTCCGCACTGTGCGGCGACATAGAGAGCAGCTCGGAGAAGAGAAATCCGTCGACACAAAGCGAAAGACACCGAGACAGCTGGATTCACGTGGCCACCTGCACGTCAAATATTTTACCATTTTATCACATTTTGAATTTTATTGTTTAAGTTTACAGTCTATATCTTCTCATATAAACAAAGACAGAGATATACAAAGATAGAAAATAATCTATACAAAAAGAAATATATACAAAGACAGAAATATATGGAAAGAAAATAATGTATACAAAAAGAAATATATACAAAGACAGAAAATAATTAAAAAAGTTGATAATGTTAGAAGTTCAGATGAGAAGTTGAAGCATAGTATTATTATACATCTTATAATGGAAAGAAGGATGTATTTTATTTAGAAACAAATAGACAAGGGAGTTCCAGGAGGTACGTGTGAAGTATTATATGCCATCTAGGACACTCTGTCGCATACGTTCCACTGCACGCGTGGCGTGCCATATTTCTATCAGCTACTATAATCGGTTAATGAGCCAATCGAGAGAGAAACCGTGAGGACTGAGTATAAACGACGCGATAGAACAGATGACATACAGTGTCCGGTGTAATATTTCAAATAAACGAAATATTAAGATATCATTATATATAGTTATATTATTTTATAGATCATACATAGATGTATCTTTTTCAGAATGTAACAACATCAAATTTTGCCAGGAGTACAAACGTGCAGTTTTTAAAAATTGACCATCTCGCGCAAATTGAAGGAAACTTACCACTGATGTGGCCAAAGATGAAGCAGATCGCCGAGATCGCGAAGCCGGATGCGACAGCGGTGGCCAAGACAGAGAGTCCGCTTCCGGAAACCGCGGAAGACGCAGCTGCGCCGGATACAACGAGACTGAAGAGGAAAGTTGCGAAACACTCTACGGCCACGGCTCTCCAGAGCTCGAGACTGCGAGCCTCTATCGACATGGGTGCTTTCTTTTCTACCGGTTCCGCGTTGTTCTCTTTGAACGACGAGATCCTCGTTAACAAGGTCACGATGTGAGCGTCCAACTCCTTCGAAAACGTCTCGGTGGTCATTTTTCTCAACCGAGGTTTACCGAAACTTGGCAGAATGAACGACGTGAGACAACGCTTTTTTTTTTTTTTTTTTT